GGCTAAACAAGGCACATGGGCCTACACTCGACGCAGCAAGGGAACCTAGACTACACACAGTGGACACACCTATACTAGGCAACACAGGGTAATAAGGTCCAGTGACACTAGATTCATCAGCATACACGTCAAACAAAGTAGAGCAAATCTGATCCATATCCATCTCATAGACCGGCACACGGCAACATACCAGGCTGTGCCAGTCAGGGAGCTATGGCGCGGGCTGAAGCAGAGACGGAAGAGGTCGTCGAGGCGGCGGTGTGACCGGGACAAGCGCAGAAGGTGCCGCGGTGGGGGCCGGTGTGAAGCTGGTACTGGCAGGTCACCGCACTGGAGCCGTCATCCGACACCGAGCTGCGGGAGCCGCCACCACGACCACCACCAATACTGCCAGGCCACCATAACGGCGGGGGTCCCTATGGCTGTTGCTGCTGCGACTACCACTACTGCGGCTGGTGCTGCTGGGGCTGCTGCTGCGGCTGTTGCTACTGCTCCGGCTGCTGCGCTGGGGCATTCGCTCTGGTCCCCTCGTCTGCTCCACATGCCCCTCCACCACCTCCGCCATCTCCGCCACTCCCGCCACCCCCACCACCCCTCCCGCCGCCACACCCCCCCCAGACCCAGCGACCCCTACCCTGACGAGCCTGCGCAGAGGCCGCCGCTTCGGTCTCAGCAGTAGGGGCTGTCTTAGCAACAGCGGCAGAGACGTCAGAGTAAGTACACTAGGAGGGAGCACCTGCCTGAAAGATAGGGACCGCCGTAGTTCCGCTAGACTGAGCGATAGTGCACTGGCGGGTCCCTATCGCAAACATGGTGGTGACAAAGTTAGTGAGGGTGATGTCAGCAGGGTGGAGGCCCAGTAAGGCAGTCAGAAAGGCACGAGATAAAGAAGTAGAGGGTGGCGCCGAGGGGGGGAGGCAGTACAGTGAGCTGAGCCTCAGTGCTAGCAATGCGGTAGCTAGTCTCAAGGGCGCGCACGTGGGTAGCGAGGTCAGCGACAATGGGGAAGGACGCAAGGTCAGGGAAAAGCAGGGGGGGATGAGACGACCATTAGAGGCAGAAGAGGGAGTGGAATAGTGCGCAATGACAGCATCTAGATATTCCTTCGCAATCGTGACAGCCTGGTATTGGGGACGCTCGAACAAGGGGAGGGCGTGACTGATAATGAGCGGCGCAACAGCGTCGCGCGACTCCCAGACAGAGCGGGCGAGCTCAGCAGCGGCAAAGGCCTAGCACTCAGGGCGCATGGGGACGTCAGGGAGCGCAGAAGGCGGGTTGGGGCAGGGGAGCTTACTGTCGACGTGGACGGATATGGACTTGCCATCTTGGCGCTGACCTCTCAGCTGGCAGCGAGCCACGCCTCAAAGTCGACCGCCCGCCCCTCCGTGTCCAGGCGGAGTACAGAGTCCGCTGTCACCACGGCTGCAGCAGCTGACAACCGCTAGAGGAGGAGAAGCCGAGGCAGGCAGGGACAGGGGAGAGCGATAAAGTGCGGTGGAGAGTGGTGGAGAGCGGTGGCGGAGATAGCTGGCGGGAGCGCCAGCTCAGAGGGGAACCAAGGCCGGCGGGTCCTGGCGGCATAGCGGCACGGCAGCTTGGCGACACTGCGGTAGGGCAGCATGGCAAATCGGTGGCACGGCGGTTTGGCTGCACGGTGGCACGGCGGCTCGGCGGCTCGATGGCTAGGTGGCACGGCGGCACGGCGGCTCGGCAGCACGATGGCTCGGCGGCTCGGCGATACGGCGGCGCAGCGGCGCGGCTCGGCGGGAGCTAGGGCCGGCGCGGGCTGGGGCCGGCAGGAGCCGGAGCTAGCGGAGCTGGGGCCGGCGCGTACTAGGGCCAGCAACGGATGGGGCCTGGCGCGAGCTGGGGCCGGCGCGAGCTGGGGCCGACACGAGCTGGGGCTAGCAGCTGCTGGGGCCGGCAGCGGCTAGGGCCTGCGCGAGCTGGGGCCGGTGCGGACTGGGGGCCGGTGCGAACTGGGGGCCGGCGCGGAGTGGGGCTGGCACGAAAGCGGGGCCGCTGAGAGTGCGGGGCCGGCGCGAGCCGAGGGCCGGCTGTTGAGCTAAATACGCTATTCGGCCATGAAAGTAGGCGAGAGGTTTTAGGAAGGGGCCAAAAGTTACGAGAGAAAAGGGGTCAGATTAGGAAGGGAGAGGGATACAAGGAGGGGGTTGTACCCTCTACAGTAGGTTTCAGTAATGCCTACCAAGCCTACAATTATATATAACCATTATAATTAGACACACCCCCTAGGCTTGGTAGCGGCAAGCCCATCCCAGACGAAAACACCCCCAAAACCCTGGCACCCCAATGTGCCACAACTGGTGAGTCTTCTACCCTTCGTGCGAAGCGGTGACACCCCCGGTGGGTGGCAGCAATGGCGTCAGCGGCGGCGGTGACAACAGCGGCGGCGGCGGTGGCGTGCGGCGGCAAGAAAGGCCAGTGGCATCAGCGGCGGCGGCGGCTTCGACGACGGCGGCGGCTACGACGAGGCTCGCGGCACGACCCGGCGACGACCGGGCATTGAGGCAGTAGCTGTGGCTGGAGGAGAGGAAGACACAAGGGGGGAAGGGGGTGTGGTCCAGCAACACGCCCGTGGCTGGTGTTGGCCTGGCGTGCGGGCGTCAGGGCTGGCGCCGCCTAAAACGAAGCGCGGCCCGCTTCTATGCGACGACGCCGCCACGACAGCATGACGACGCCGCCACTGCGCGGCGTCGATGCCGCAGCGGCACGTTGACACTGGCACGGCAGCACGACGACGTCGCTGTTAAAATTATATGCGTTATAATTTAATATAGGCTTGGTAGGTTGTTACTGAACCTTTCTGTAGAGGGTACAAACCCCTCCTTGTACTCCTCTCTCTTCCTAGTCAACCCTCTTTTCTCTCGACACTCTCGCCTACTCTCCTAGCTAAACCCCGCCGCCACATTCATGGCGGCCTTCACTACCTCCTAGCCTAGACTAGGTTTTTAACATGGTATCAGAGCGGTTCGCTCCTAGCGGGCCTGCTCCTCACCCTTCCGCCGCGCTTTTCTACTGTCCTTTTCGGGCCGCCACCGTCCCTCGCCGCGCTGCCGTGGCGACCTCGACATTTAGCCGTGGCGGCCATGTCGAGGTGCCGTGGCGGCCTCGTCGCATGGCTGCCACGTCGAGCAGCCGTGCTGGGCTTGCCGCCCTGACGTGGCGGCTCCGCCGTTCCACCTTCCCGCCGTGTGCCCGTGCTGCGGCCAGCGCCCTGACGTTTGTGGCGTCGCCACGCCTGCCGCCACCACACCTGCCGCCCGCACACCAGCCTCCAGCGTGAGGCTGGACCACGCCCCGCCCCTCTTCCCTTGTGTCCTGTTCCTCGCCGCAGCCGACGGCTGACTCCCACCGACCGTCCCACCGTCGCGGCGTTTGGTCACGTCGCCGAGTGGGGCGAGCGCCGCCGCCGCCGCCGCCGCTGTTGTCGAAGCCCCCGCCGCCGCTGCTGTTGCCGCTGGCTTTACTTGCCGCCGCACGCCGCCGCCGCCGCTGCTATCGTCATTGATGCCGCCGCCGTCGTCGCCACCGCACCCTCGTCGTTGACGTTGCCGCCCCGCCCGTGGAGAGGTCGACCGCGCTGGCAACCGCCACTGCTGCTGCAGGGAATGGGGGTGCTAGGTTAGGGGGTGTGGGTGTGTGTGGGTGTGGGGGTGTGAGTGGGCTTGACACTACCAAGCCTAGGGGGTGTGTTAAAATTATATGCGTTATAATTTAATATAGGCTTGGTAGGTTGTTACTGAACCTTTCTGTAGAGGGTACAAAACACTCCTTGTACTCCTCTCTCTTCCTAGTCAACCCTCTTTTCTCTCGACACTCTCGCCTACTCTCCTAGCTAAACCCCGCCGCCACATTCATGGCGGCCTTCACTACCTCCTAGCCTAGACTAGGTTTTTAACAGTCGCCACGGCGTGGCGTCGATGCCACGGCAGCGCGCCGGGGCTGAAACGGCAGCAAGACGGAGCCGCCAGGGCAGCTCGGCATGGCCGCCACGGCGGCACGAAAATTACGAGAGAAGAGCGAGTACGCGGCAGAAGCGTGGGGAGCAGGCCCGGGAGGGGCAACCTGCTTTGGTACCATGTTGAGCTAAATACGCTAGTCAGCCATTAAAGTAGGCGAGAGGTTTTAGGAAGGGGGCAAAAGTTACGAGAGAAACCGGCGAGCCAGGGGGCCGGCTAGCTAGGGGCTGGCGAGGTGAGGGGTCGGCGAGTGAGGGGCTGGCGAACGCGGGGGCTGCTCGATGAGAGCAGGCGGGGCCGGCGGAGGGCTAGGAGCCGCGCGGCGCGCGAAGGGGCCAGCGGCGGGCTAGGGGCCGCACGGCGCGCTCGGAGGGGGGCCAGCGAGCTAGGCCAACGGGCTAGGGCGAGGGCTAGGGCGAGGGCTAGGGCTAGGGGCTAGAGCGGAAGCGGAAGACCTAACCTAGTCTGATACCATCTCAAAGTAACGGAATGAATTAGAAACAAGCATACAGGGTGGTTTTGTGCTAATGTGCTGTACTCTCTATGAGCATGCACCTATTTAGCCTATAACAACATAAATATATGTTGACATTGACCGCCGCCCTTCATTTCAGTGAACCTGTACTCTGTATGAGTATAGTGCGAGAATCAGTAACTCCATCAATAGCTTCTGGAATGCATATGATAATATCATTCCAACAAGGTGTTTGAAGATTGGGTGAGGATGTTAGCGAGGAATAAGAATTACATTTTGGTATGAGGGGTTTTTTCTGTGTATCGGTGAATGGATCTATGAATTCTCGCCATTGTCTAGGCGAGCCTTGGCTTTGGGGATTCTTCACTAGAGAGGTGTTTCATGTGACGGCTGGCGTCAGCCAATCGGCATGGGCCTCGAGTCGACTCCGCTAGCCGCCAACATCGAGGTAGTAGCAGGGCTGGGCTCTGCTGGCTGTGCTTCGCCTGCTTGCTCCCTCGAGGCTGCTGCAGGTGAACTCCAGTGGCACCACGCCATGCACGCAGCAAGCAGTCCCCTCCCTGCCTAGACTGTCCGCCTGGAATCCCTTCACATATCCTCGCGCGTTTATCCGCGGAACTACATCCCTGCTCGTGTGCCTCCTTCCCAACGCCTGCGCTCGTCCCCGCCCTCCACCCACCGCTCGGTTTCTCGCTCTGGCCGTACTCCGCCGTGCCGCATCCGTGTTGCGAGTGCGATCGCGCCGAGGCCCACCCATGGCCATGGACGGCGCTGCCTCGCGTCATGCCACGCGCTGTGCTGCTGCCACGCCCGTCGTACGGATGCTTCTCGCCCTACTCCTCGCGGCAGCGGCGGCAACAGCGCGCGCGCACGAAGGCCACGACGACTCGGAGTCGCGTACGTCCGACCGCGCCACCGCGCGCTGCCCCTCGCCCGGATCTCACGTCGTGTGACCCGTCCCCTTTCTGCTCTCGCCGTCGCGATTCCTCGCCGCCATGCTTCAGTTCTCCGAACCAGCGAGTCCTTTATCCCGCGTAGTTTCCCGCCGCTACCCAGCCACGGCATCATCGTTTCCCGTTCCGCCTTGGTCTGCGTCGCCGCGCGCTTCCTACATGCGTCGCGCTTCCAGGCTGCATGCTGGCCATCATCCGTCGCGCCGTCCTCGCGGCCCCTGGAACCACGCGCGCCCCAGTGCAGCAACTGGCGCCTGCACTCACACCCGCTGCAACCCCCTCCCTTCCCCCTTGCGCGCCCTGTCCCCGCGCAGCGCCATGCGCGGCGACGGACAGCCTGGTGACGGTGGAGGCGCCGTACGTGCCGGGCACCATCACGGTGGACGGCAGCGCGGCGGACTGGGCGGGCGTGGCGGGGCAGGAGCTGCGCCTGCAGCCCGCCATCAACCCCAACTCCGCCGCGCCCTACCCCTTCGGCGCCGGCTCCATGCTGCTCAAGGTACTCGCCCGCCCGCCCGCCCTGCCGCTCCCTGCCATCCTCCCTGCTCGCCTGCTCTCTGCCCGCCTGCACTCTATCGTGCACCCTCACCCCCGCTGTGGCCTCCTTGCGCTCACCCCGTGCGGTGCGCTTGTGCGATGCAGGCGGCGCATGACGGCAGGGACGTGTTCTTCCTGCTCAAGATCCCCGGCCCCTACGTCTACAACCAGCAGTCAGTATCCCTCTCCCCCCTCTCACCCTCTCTCCCCCACGTCTATGGTTGTTCGCTTTGCTCTGCACGACCTTTTCCAACACAACATTTCATTTTGTTATCACCGTGCTCACTCTACCTCCTGCTACCCCCGTCGTACGTTCACCTCTCTTGCGTCTCCCTCATGTCCGTGTCCTCTCTCCCGTCCCCTCTCGCTCTCTGCTCGCATGCCTGCATCACCGCCATGCACTAATCCGCATGTTCTGGCCTCCTCTTGAACCTCTGCCTCCAGTTGCGCCCTGTGTGTGCATGTGTGCGTGCGTGTGTGGGTGTGTGCGTGCGTGCGTGCGTGTGTGTGTGCGTGTGTGTGTGCGTTTGTGCGTGTGTGCGTGTGTTTGTGCGTGTGTGCGTGTGCGTGTGTGTGTGTGTGCGTGTGCGTGTGTGTGTGTGTGTGTGTGCGTGTGTGTGTGCGTGTGTGTGTGTGTGTGCGTGTGCGTGTGTGTGTGTGCGTGCGTGTGAGTGGGAGCAGGAACCACCATCTGTCCATATCGGGGTCGCTCATGTTCGGCATTGGGGATGACGCCACCTTCTACAATGTCAGTCACGCGCACCTTGTACTGCCTGCTTATGGAATCATCCCTGCTTTTCTTGTAAACGTTTCAACCATACTCGCGCAGACAAGCGCTCAGATCCAAGGGCCCTGCGTTGTGGGTGTGCAAGCACGGCGTAACCAGCAGCAGGGCTGAGCCTGTTGACAACGCCTTTCAAGCCCTCTCACTGCCTCCATGTAATCTCTCCCTCCCGCGCTCTTGTTGGCTGGCGTCAGATGGGCGGGTGTCCGAACCTGGCGGGCGTGTGCACGGCGGAGAACTGCCGCGGGCACGAGGTGGACGTGGTGCACTTCGAGGTGGACACGGCCATCCCCGGCCGCACGTACGGCCACAACCTCATGGACCAGATGGACGGCACCGGCGCCGACAGGTGGGCCATGGCGCGACGGGCAGGCCGACAGTTGGTGGCTGTGCGCCTGCCCTTGGGCCGCCTGTCTGCTAGCAGGGCCCGTGGGGTGATGCGCCACGTGGTGTGTCGGCTGTTGAGTGGGCACGTGGCGATGGCAACAATGGGGTCGTGCAGTGAGTGGGCACGCAAGCGCGGAGGACGTGCAGGCAGTGCATGATGCAGCAGAGCAATTGGGCAAGGGGCAGGGTGGGAGTGGTGGGAGAGGGAGTGTGGGTGGGGGGTGCGGAGGGATGACATGATGAGGCGCTGCTAGTGTGTTGGTGGGAAACCTTGTGGAAGGAATGGCAGTGAGTGGGGAAGAACGCACGTGGACGAGGCAGGGGGGTCGTTGAAGCTGGTAGGCGGCAGAGTCATGCAAAGCGTGTGTGCTGCACTGCTGCCTGTGCTGGTCCTGACAAAGTCGAAGCGAGGTGTTGCACCAGTGAGCAGGACGGAAGGATGTGCACCTGTCGTGGGCACACTGTGAGGGCTGCCTATCGGGTCACTGGCGGGCTCACTCACACCAGCATGAGCATTGATGTGCGCATGTGATGGGGTCACTACGACACAAGAGCGAGGGCCATAGCAAGGGGCGGTTTGGCTCTCCATGCCCTGCCTGCGCCGCTTTATGTCCTGCGTCATTGTGCTCTGCTCATACCTTCGTGCGCGTGCACCCGCTCTTCCTTGTTCTTGCCCACTCGTCCTTGCTGTTTCTCCTTCACTCCTGCCATCCACAACAACACCCCCCCCCCCACCCCCCTTCCCCCCCCATGCGTGGGTGTGCGGCACGGCTGCGTGTCGCCAGGGTGGGCAACCTGTACGACGGTTACGGGTGGAACCCTCACTGCCGCCAGTTCGATGGGCTCGCCACTGCAGGTGAACCTGGCTGCAATGCCGTCTCCCTCGCCCAGCACTCTCTTTACCGATTCTCACTCTGCCTTCCACTCTCCATCCCGGCGTTCCTTCCGTCCACTCCCCCTTCTCCCTCCCCCTCGCTCCATGCCCCCGCGCCGCACCCTTTATTTCCGTTTGAGCCCCTGTCTCTCTCCTCCCCCCCCTCGGCCCCCCCAGGCCTGTCGTCAAACGGCACGGCCATGAACGACTGGCACGGCGTGTGGACGCACAGCACGGTCAACATGGACTACGGTATGCTACCTGCATGCTGCATGCTGTGCAGCGCACCATGCCACAGCAAGCAGCACAGTGGGCTTCAACCAGCTTTGTTGGTCTCTGCAGTGCCTTCGCTTTCTCGCTGCCATGTTTTGCCACCTGCTGTGCCCCTCTTCTCCACACCTTGATTCGTGTCCACGCACCGCCAATCCTCTCCCCATCCTCCTCTGCCTCATCCCCCCTGCACGACGCCAGGTCTGACAGCGGCAGACGCCCCGTTTGCCACAGCGGGTGACGACGGGTACTTCGTGTTCGAGCTCACACGCCCACTGCGCACCGCCGACCACTTCCAACAGGTTGGGGGGCGGGGGGGGGAGGACTTGACAGGAGGGGCAAGGGGGCGGGGAAGGGGGGAGAAGGCAGCAGAAAGCAGTAGGCAAGTGGCAGAGATCAGAGTTTGTTTGCGTGCAAGGGGAGTGGCGGGCATGGTGTGGCTTGTGTGCCTGTTTGAGCCCTCCCTTGTTTCTTGCTGTCTGCCCCCCCACCTCCATCACTCACCTCCTCAGGACCTTCCCACTATTTACCTGTTTCTATCCCTGCTAATGCCAATGCATCCCCCTCTCGCATTCCTCCCGCTGCACACCTGCCACGCCCCCACCCGTGCGTGTCGCCTCATCCAGGATGTGCAGCTGAGTGTGGGCGGCACGCACCGCATGGGGGCCGCCGTGTGGTACCCGCTGGACGGCACACCATGGCACGGCTCGCAGCACTTCCTGGCGTCCTGCGACTGGCTGCACCTGCACCTGCTGCCTGCGCCCGCACCCGCGGCGGGGTGGCAGGCGGCGCAGGCGGAGCAGGGCGGGGTGAGCAGCACGGCGGCGGCGGCGCTGAGCGGGCTGTCGCTGCTGCTGGCGCTGGCGGCAGTGTTTGTGTCCATCGTGGTGGGGTGGTGGGTGCGCGCCAACGCGCGCCAGTTCCAACCCATGGACGGCCTCTGACACCCACCTCGACGCATCCCACCGACCCGTGCCTGCCTGCGCTGGGGTGGGCTGGAGCTGAGAAAAGGGAGGTGGTAGAGGGGAGTGATGGGCGTGTGGAACAGAGCATAGACGCAGTCGTGGGTGTTGTACCGTGAAACAAAAGCAGTGGCAGCAACTGCCGCTCCCTCCCCTCCATTGTGCTGTCATGGTGTTGCCTATCAAAATGGAGAAGTGAATGATGACTAGTGAGAGAGAACAGAAAGATATACCTAAGAATTGTACCCTCTAAGAGGTGACCCTATACAGTCTATACAAACATACCGACTACACATGTTTGACACACCCCCTAGACTGCATAGGGGAATGTCATAAACATGCAGCTCAGGGCGGCACTACTAGTCCAACCTCTGAGACAAGGGTCTAAAAGACCAGTCAGAAGGAGTACAGACAAGGCAAGAACAAGGCTAGGGCGGCACTACTAGTCCAGCCACTAGAAGAGGACACAAGTCCAGTCTTAGTACACATATAAAGGACAGTACAAAGTCAAGGCCCTAGCAAGTGAGAGGCTACAGGAACCAAACCCAGCTGTACACAGTGCCGCTGATGATCTTTAGGCGCAAGCGCCTTCGTAAAGATATCAGCTGTGTTGGCACCTGAGGCCAAGTGTACTACGCGAGCCTGGCGTCGCTGCTGTAGCTCACGCAGGAGGAAGTACCGCAGCTGAATATGCTTCGCTCTGCCCTCGAGTCGAGGCTCCTTACACACGAGGATCATGGCCCTGTTGTCAGCGAACAGGACCGGGGCAGAGCTAGGCCGCTCACCTAAGTCAGTGAGCAAGAAGGTCAGCTAGCGGAGCTCCTGTGCCGCCATGGCACCAGCGTAGATCTCGGCCTCACAGCTGGACTGAGCAACAGACGAGGAGCGGGTAACTATCCAAGAGACGGCACCTGAACCAAGGCTGAAGCAGTAGCCCTGGGAAGACCTGAGTGTCTCGGCGTCGTCTGCCCACGAAGCGTCTGTGTGTCCAGTAAGGACCACTGGCCTACGTCCTCCTAGCACTAACCCCATGCCCGATGTACTTGCAAGATAACGCAAAACCCTCTTAGCGGCAGACCAGTGCTGCGGTCGGTGTCTGCCTGTGGCCACAAAGCGAGCCAGGATGCTGAGAGGGTATGCGAGATCTGGGCGAGTGCAAGTCATCAGGTACATGAGGCAACCCACCAGCTCTGCGTAGGGGCCGCTGGGCTCTACCGACTCCTCAGACACTGGAGCGGAGAGTCTATGGTCTACAGGCAGAGGGGTGGGCTGTGCAGAGGAGAACTGAAGGCTGAACCTCTGAAGGACCTGGCGCACCAAGTGTGACTGAGTCAGGGTGATGGTGCGCGCTGCTCTGTCCCTGGAGATCTGCAAGCCAAGGTAACGGCGCAGTTCTCCAAGGTCAATGCACGTGTGTCTCTTCAGCAGCTCTGCCTTCACGGAGGCCAGTGCGTCCCTGTCTGCTGTGGCGAAGACCAGATCGTCAACGTAAACAAGGATGTAGAACGGAGTCTGGCCAGCACGAACGAAGAGTGAGGGGTCTGCGGAAGACGGAAAGAACTGCAGGTCAGCAAGAGTAGCACGGAGAGTGTCGTGCCACTCACGGGGAGCCTGGCGCAGGCCGTAGACGGGGCGCCGCAGGAGCCACTGGGTCCCAGGAGGGAAGGTGCCAGTAAAGCCCTGAGGGCGACGCAAGTAGACCTGCTCGTGTAGGCTGCCCTGAAGGAAGGCAGTGGAGAAGTCGAGGGAGTGAAGCTCGTAGTCACGCTGAGCAGCTAGGTGTAACAGAACCCGAAAAGTAGTCATCTTCGGGGTCGGAGCGAAGGTCTGGAAGAAGTCCACCCCCTCACGCTGACTGAAGCCTCTAGCCACGTAGCGCGCCTTGAACACAGGCGGCTCTCCAGGAGGGCGCTTCACCTTGAAGAGCCAGCGGCCATCGACTACGTTCACCCCAAACAGGGGAACTGCGTCAACGAAGGTGCCGGTGGATCTCCAAGATGCCATCTCCTGCTCCATGGCAGCTATCCACTAAGAGGCCCAAGGTCCCGAGGTCGCCTCAGCGTAAGTGCGAGGGGTCGGGATGTCGAAAGCGTCTGGGTCACCCTCAGGGACTAGCAGCATGGAACAGAGATGGGGAGCAGCATCGGACAGGAAAGCAAGCTCAAACTGGCGGTCCTCCAGGACGTCACTGCCAAGGGCAGGAGCACCCCCGATAGACGGAGGACAGGCAGGGTCAGAGACCAGAGCGGTGGCGTAGTCAAGGCGGCGGGTAGAGGCGAAGTTAGCGACCGCAGCGACAAGAGCGTCAAGGCACGAGACCGGAACAGACGGGTCGGTAACGAGAGAGGCAAGGACCCGAGGAACAAGAGGACAAGCGTCACGAAGGTAGTCAGACAGCGGGGGGGGTGCAACAACAAGGGAGGACGGAGGAGGCGACGGCAGAAGGGGAGGACGAGACGCATGGGAACGAAGCAACATAGGGTGGGAGCGCAAGACAGGCGAGGCAGGACGAGCACGGGAGGGACGGTGAGACCAGACGTGCGACGGAGGAGTCGGGTCAGGAGACAGAGGAGGGGACACAGGAGGGGAACGAGGGGGGAGACAGGCCGGGGACGAGTCCAGCGGAGGGAAGACAGGAACGTAGACAGGAAGAGGAGGAGACGGCCGGGGAGGAACCGACGCAGGGTCGGGGGACGGAAGGCTGAGCAGGCGAAGGGCTGACACCGGCGGGGACTGCTGCTGCGGCGGCACAACGGCGACACCGGGACCGCAAGCTGCTCCTCGGCTACCACCGGCACTCTCCACACCAGAACCCCCAGAGAGACCACCCCCAAGGCTATCGGGACGAGCACCCCCAGAGTCAGCGAACGGGTGCTGCGACGGCGGCGGCGGCGGCGGCAGCGACAACGACGGCGGCAGAGGCGGTGGAGGGGGGAACTGGGAAGGGGACGCCAGGGGAGGGGCGGCCGGC